GTGTGGCGGTGGGAACTGACCCTGTTTTTTGAGGTTGTGTATGGAATAGCTCTGATATCTGTATTCTCGTTTGAGAGTATCATGAAGAATCTGGATATAATATAGACTCCACCTTTTCTGGATAAAGCAGCCCAGGTCTTTACTGGCAGCTTCAGCAGTTTAGCGGTTCTGAGAACACGAAAACAGGAAATTCTGCACCAGCCTTGACAGAGGCTGAAGATGTGTATGAATTCCTTAAAGATTGTATTATTTGTTGAAAACAGATTATCAGCAGCCTTGACGAAGAATATATCTCTTATCAACGCTCTTTGCTTTTACTTAATCATTTCCTATTAAATTTGTCACCTACTCAACTGTATAGGAAAACAGCCTGCTGCACAGGAAGCATTAACAATTTGCTCTTAAACCGGAAAGGTACAAAGTCCAAATTCCTTCTTTACCACATCCCACTGAAAGCAGGTGATGCAGCACTTGACACAACCCCCCTCACTTACCTTTACACAGAGTAAGAGTAAGGTCCTTTGTGTTTCTTGCAATGCATGGAGAGCGATAAAGCCCGGCCCTGGACACGAGCAGACCCGGTCTTTGAGGACGCTCAGACCATGATTAGGATTTTGCAGACTCATCTCTGCTGCAGTACGTGTGAGCTCTTCATTAGAGCTGTTTAGAAAACATATGGGAAGTGAGGATTAATTTGCAGAGTTATCACTGTTTTTTTGTCAGCAGTTTCTAGTCAACTGGGGAAATACGTTCTTAGTTGGTATAAACTGAAGTTCTATTACTCAGGTAAACGAGACAGGAACATCCTGATATGTTGAGGCACTGCCGTCACAGGAACCTTTCTCTTTGCAGCGTTTGGTAAGTGGCAGTGGGTGTCGGTGTGGAGGAAAATAACTGCTCACTGCTCGTGCAAAAATTTGCAATTGAAGCTTTTTTTCTTTTTTAAACGCTGGTTTACACTATTGGAAAAAACATGTAATTGTCAAATGACCTATTCCTGTATAAGCAGATTATATAATCCCTGATAAGCAAAAGACTGACAGGAATAAGAGCATATGTCTGTCTGGTAGAACTGAAAATCTTCCTATCACTCATTCACTTTAGAAGGCCCAAATCAAAACACTGCTGTCGTGATTCCTCCGCAGGCATGTTGCCATAAAGCGCTGCATTCAGGCATCTCTGCAAGGTCCCCCTTTAAGGGCCTGAAGAAAGAGTTTGGAAGAGTGTTTAGGGTTTTGCCAGCAGCTGGCTTCAGACTCCACCTGTGTGGGCTTGGAGGGAGCGTGGGTTAACAGGGCAGCGTGCAGCACTGTAATCGCTACCGCAGTGTGAGGCCCTATAGGAACAGCTACAGGTCAGGATGCAGATGTCCTGCTG